GATATCATTATTATAAAGACGTATATCGTGTGACAGTAGTTATAAATTATTATGTACTGCGCCATATAACTGGTAGCTGGGTACCTACCGACCGTAAATGTTACATGGAGCGAGAGGAAACGCCTACATACGCATAGAATGTACAATGAAGCACCGCAAAATATTTTGGTAACCCGTGTATTTTCTCAACACTTACAATGTGGATTTGTCATAAAAAAGTAACGGAAACTACGTGATCGTCAGAAAAATGGGCCTGAGGACAAATTCTACTCCGTAAACGTTACAGAGACGAATATTATGAGAAACATGCGTGAAGTGAACTAGATGTCGCTACTGTAGACTATTCGTTTGTTAATTCTTTGCTTTGTGTTAGACATTATAAAGTCTATTTAACTTTGGCTAGTCTTTTGACTTGATGCTCTTATTAACTGCAAGTATTAAGAGAACGAAACTAAATGTTGCTGATGGAAAGTATCAAAAAAAGATTCATATGTTTTTTTTTAATAATAAGTATGTTGTTTATGAGGAAGGAGAAAAACGAATTTTAATACAAAATTATATTATCCTATATGATTCGGAACTGATCCTTATAGAAAAACTATTTCGAAAAAGGGATTGCTTGTGCCGTAATTATTTAATATATTTTTTGACGGCCTCGGCGGTCTAGCGGTTTAGCTACACCGCTTTACTTCCGATAGTCGCGGGTTCGATTCTTCGCACGGTGCAAACATTTGTATTGATTGCTATGATTGTTTGTATTGGTCTAAGTATTTTCTATATATATTATGTATGTATTTAAAAAAAGTATCTATTTATATCAGTTATCTAGTACTCATGAGTTCATAACACAAGCTCTGCTTACCGCGGGACTAGGTGGCGCTATGTTACATGTCCAAGGTTATTTATTTATTATTATTTGGTAATATGTAGGTAACACATTAATAATGAAAGTATGTTTTATTTATGCGCAGATATAATAATAAAGATTTTAATAATCAATCAAACTTTAGTGCAAATGGCGAACTTACAACCTTGTGGCATTTTCTATCCGTCAAATAAACAATTAATCTAAATAAATTTTTACCTATAAAGAATTAAAGACTCTTTTGTTTTTATAACACATTCAAATGCCACCAAAACTATAGATCACTATATAAATGATAATAAACCAACGCACACAGAAAGTAACTTAAATGTGTTAGTAATAGGGTTGAAATTCTGTTGTAAGTTATAAGATCGCACACAAACACGTCCCACCCATTTGGTTGCAGGACATGAAAAATGATTTATAACATAATGACTTGGTAAGACAGCACTGGGACTACTGAAAAAAAAACTGTGTTTCATTTTAATTTATCAATATGCCATTGACCGCAAATATTGTAACAGACACTAGGTACTAAAGTATTTCTTTCTTCTGCCCCTCCGATCGATCCCCCGTCTAATTCAAACGGGGATCGAAATTACGACGGCCTGAGCCGAGGTTCGAAACCCCTAGTGGTGCCCTCAGACTAAAGTCGTATCCGTCAGGCAGGAGTTGGCTTTCAGCCGCTCCATAAGTCCTTCCTCGGGTTTGGAGTGCAATCTGCACTCGCCCCCTAACGTCCGTTGAAGCTGTAAAGGCCAGCTACGGCCAACAGCATTAGAGTAGTCCGAAAAAAAAATTCTTTCTTCTGTAGTCCCCATGCGGCATGCTTTGTAAGCTGTTCTTTAAAAACTCTGTGGTTCATTTTAATTTATCAATACGTCATTGACCGCAAACATTGTGACAGACACTAGGTACAAAAGTATTTCTTTCTTCTGTATTCCAGTCCTCATGCGGCATGCTTTGTAAGCTGTTCTTTAAAAACTCTGTGGTGCATTTTAATTTATCAATATGTCATTGACCTCAAACATTGTGACAGACATTAAGTACTAAGGTACTTCTTTCTTCTGTATTCCAGCCGCCATACAGCATGCTTTCTAAGCTGTGCTTTAAAAACTCTGTGGTTCATTGTGGTCATTGACCGCAAACATTATGACAGACACTAGGTACTAAAGTATTTCTTTCTTCTGTATTCCAGTCCCCATGCGGCATGCTTTGTAAGCTGTGTTTTAAAAACTCTGTGGTTCATTGTGGTCATTGACCGCAAACATTGTGACAGACACTAGGTACTAAAGTATTTCTTTCTTCTGTATTCCAGTCCCCATGCGGCATGCTTTGTAAGCTGTGTTTTAAAAACTCTGTGTTTCATTTTATTTCATCAATATGTCATTGACCGCAAACATTGTGTCAGACACTAGGTACTAAGGTACTTCTTTCTGTCTCCTATTTCAAACGCTAAACAGCTTACTTTATAAGCTGTGTTTTGGTTTGAAGTGGTAGTGAAATTATAGAGGATTAATTATACAGACATGCCAATTTAGTGCCCGGCTCGGTACTAAGATGGTCTGTGGTTTTTTATTATAGAATAAATAAAATTAAATATTCTCATGAGTATAATCCGTAAAAAATAGAAACATTTTTAACTAACGTAACAGTGTACTGAACTTAATATTTTAAATAAGATTTAAAGTTATAAAGTAATAGAATGAAAAGAGGGTACTTCTGTATTTTAGCCGCCAAGCAACTTTCTTTGTAAGCTGTGTTTGGGGTTGAAGGGGTAGTGAAATTATGCAGTATTAATTATGGAGCCATGACATTTTAGTTCTCCGGAATGACAATGCAAGGAAGGTGTGCCACATTCATCACGTGACAATGTGAATAGTGAATTTATTCATAGTTTAATATTGTTTGCATGCAACGACAATAGATGGCGCTGTACCAGAATTACACACTTTTTTTATATTATTATATCTTTTTACAAGAATGGATTTTTTTTATAGTACAGGGGACAAACGAGCTTCCGGCTCGCCTGATGGTAAGGGATTACCTCCGTCCATGAGCACCTGCAACACCAATGGAAATTACAAGTGCGTTGCCGGCCTTTTAAGAAGGAATGAGCTCTTTTCTTGAAAGTTTCCATTACGTATCGGTTCGGAAATACAATTGCTGGTAGGTGATTCCACAATGTGGTTGTGTAGCAAATTTTTCTAGAAAACCGCACTGTGTTTTGATTCTGGCGGAAAAAGTCAGGAGCTGGTATTAAACCGAACAATTCCTCAGAACACTCACCGTGATATATGCAGTAGAAAATGCACAGAGAACCAACGACTGATAAATTATCTCGCCACAGATAATTTATCAATAAATTCTTGTAAAACGATATGATGAGCATAGTGGTGCAAAAATAGTAACTAATAACCATACTTATTTTATGTAATATTATGATATAATTTATTTACTAATTATTGGTACAGTAAATATGATGTTATATGAAATATTATTGATCAGCAATATTTACCATACAGGCATGCAAATATGTATTTATTGACAATAAAACTACATTTAAGTTTTTCCATCAGTTTAATACTGAACCCATAAAACAGTGTCCAATATGTTATTTTGATTGATTTTGGAAGTAACTTTAACACTCACCTATTTTCGTTTCTCTTTTATTCATCTCATTAATTATTTAAGTACGGGATGCCTTCATTAAACAAACTCAATAATGTTGTGTGTATATTCTTCGCTGTTCAAAACTTCTCTGTTTCTCAATAAGGAAAACAATCCTGGAAGTTTTGTACGTGTCTCGGATACCTAGTGGGTTTGTGCTCACATTTTTCTAACCGATTTCCAATAGGAGTGGAGGAAGGAAAAAGGAAATTCTGTATTGAAAATATATACGTGGTTTTGTAGGTAATTCGGTATTGCTTTTGATGATTCATTTTGTAGTAGGTGTTCACGCCGTATAGACGGCAGAGCGGGGCGGAGGGCGGCACACATGCAGTGTGAACTTAGCAACGAGCGCGGTGTACGGACGAGAGAAAAAAGTAGCCATAACGGCCAATAAGGCGATAAAAGGAACATTCACAAAAATACGCCCTTGTACACGTTAGCCATAATTCAATAATGTAAATATTTCTCACAATAAACAAAATAAACATAAACATTTTGGTGACCCCGACGTGATTCGACGTGATTCGACGTGATTCGACGTGATTCGACGTGATTCGACGTGATTCGACGATCAGATGTGACGAGATTTCATCTACACGACGAATACTAAATTACATACCAACCCGAAAATTGTGGATATATTGGAAGCGGACTCAATCCCTACGGAAGACTACGAAGTATAATCTACAACACTTGCCAAGGGAAGTACGCCTATTCCTATCCATATTTCCATTCTTTCTAGCTAAATTGTGTGTATGAAGTAGACAATTTTGTTCGTCAATGTTAATTTTCCAACCGTCATAGTAATTACGTATAGTTAATTAATATTTATAAAATATATATTCTATAACAAATTGCAAATTCATAACATTTCCAATAAATCTACAGCATTATTAAACCATTTATTTAAAATTGATACCTTATTTACAATCAGAAGTTCAAATTTATAAGATCGTAATAACCTACATAATTTTGCCGTATAATAGTTAACATTATTTATTCATAAAATTGTAGCATCTATTTGTGTTTACAAGTGCATTTAAAGTCACAAAGTATATTAATAGTCAATACTATAACCATTTTTGTTTAATTACTTTGTACAAACATCTCAAATAACGAATATTTTAAATAATTTCAACGATCATTCTAGAACATTTGTGATAAGTAACCGGGTGAACTTGAGTGACCTAGCGGAGCGGGCGATCGAGTGATCGCGCGTAGGTAACTGTTACGCTAAGTGATTTTGTATTGAACGGTCTTGAATCATCGCGCTGTTTATCGCTCCGCTTGTATAAAGTATCTCAAGCCTGATACTACGCATAACAGTTGTAACGACATTTCGTGTTGATTGAGTTTGTTGTTCGATATTTTGTTACTGTTTTTTACTTATTACCCTACTCTTTTTAAAATTCATAAATATTAGTATTATTTATTGTTAATTGCACCTATTAAGTACAATAAAATGAGTGAATTAAAGGATTTAAGTAAACAAAGGGCGTCTATTCGTGCTCGTTTAACATTATTTGAAAAATATTTAAAGCCATTAGTTGAGTTAAAACAAGCAAGTAAAATAGAAATTAATGAGTTAACTTTGCGAATTAGTAAAATACAAGATCTGTCATGTTCTTTTGATGACATTCAGTCAAAGATAGAATTTTTGGATTCAGATATTAGTCAAATAGAAGAAGGGGAGATTACGGAGAATTTATTTTTTCGTTTACTCGCGCAAGCACAAATGTTAATTGATTTGTGGACTAATTCTGATAAGGTTGAAAGTGTGTCGGCTGGTTTCACTAACAATTTAAAACTTCCAGTTATAAAAATTTCCTTGTACGACGGCAATATGAACCAGTGGCTAGAATTTAGGGACATGTACTTATCCTTGATTCACAATAATGAGAGAATTGATGACGTCACTAAATTTCATTATTTAAAATCTTATTTGACGGGTTCTGCTGCCGCGGTCATCAGTTCTGTCACAGTTTCTGCCAATAATTACAATATCGCTTGGTCTTTGCTCTGCGAGAGATACAACAACAAACGTCTTCTTGTGAACGAACATTTAAAGTGTCTATTTGCTATTAAACAATTATATAAGGAGTCAGATGAAGGATTACGCAATTTAATAGACATATTGTCAAAAAATTTAAGTGCTTTAAATTCATTGGGCGAGCCCACTGAAAGGTGGGATACTATTATTATTTATATGGCCTCATCAAAGTTGGATAGTCAGTCCATGAGGAAATGGGAGGAGTACAGGAGCAAAATAGAATCTCCCATTTTAGATGATTTTTATACGTTTCTTCGTGACAGCGCAAATGTTTTAGAAACATTAGGCATAAATAAGGGTTCGTTTCATAATAATACATTCGATAGGCAACAAGGGTCGATTAAATCAAAGTCATTTATGGTATCTTCTGATTCTGTTTGTATATTATGTTCACAAAATCATAGGTTACATGAATGTTTAAAATTTAAATCATTACCTATTGATGAACGGAATACCAAGGTTTACCAATTCAAATTATGTTCCAATTGTCTTCGAAATGGCCATCAGTCGTACCAATGCAAGCTTGGCGGATGTAGAATCTGCAACAGAAAACATAATACATTATTACATAAAACACAAACACATGAAGCTACTCGACATCAATACATACAACCACAACAAGATACACAACAAACACTACAAGCTCAACAACAAATACATACGTCACACGCACATCAAGGACAAATACCTACTAGTTCTCTAATTACTACAAATACAAATAATAATGATACATGCTTACCGCAAGACACTACGTTGCTAAATACCGCGTCAACTATAAATATGTCTGCTGTATCCTCGTGCCACACATTGCTGTCAACTGCTTTAGTCGAGGTTACAAACAATGACAACAAAACAAAGCTGGTATTGCGAGCGTTACTGGACAGTGGAAGCCAGTCGTCGTTTATTAGCAAGAAAGCTCAAATTCAAATTGGCTGCTTCAAGCATACAAATCGGTACCACTATGTGTCTGGTTTAAATAACAGTATAATTAATGTTACCGAACATTGTGATTTACGATTAAAATCACTATACAATGCATACAGCACTCCTATCAAATGCTATATTGTACCAACTATTACTGATAAACTTCCTCAATCAAATATTAACGTTAATAATTTAGATATTCCTAACGAATTCAAGCTAGCTGATCCCACATTTTACTATCCTTCAGATATTGATCTTCTGTTAGGTGCAGATGTATTCTGGGATTTGATAAGGGCAAACAAGGTTAAATTTGATAATAATAATTTAATATTACAAGAGACAGAATTGGGTTGGGTAGTAGCTGGCCCTATGGGAGGGAATACACAGTTTATAAAAAGTGTATGTCATTTCAGTCTTGACATTAAGAACCAACTGACAAAATTCTGGGAGCTCGAGGAGTTATCCACCACTAATGTTTTATCAAATGAACATAATTATTGTGAGTCACTTTTCGTGAATACGACTCATCGTGATGATATGGGTAGATTCTGTGTCCAAATTCCTTTGCGTGACTCGCCTAACGTGCTCGGTGATTCTTATGATATGGCGTTAAAACGATTGCTTCAAATCGAACGCAAAATGAGACATAAACCAATATTAAGACAGGAATATACAAAGTTTCTTAATGAATACGAAAGTTTAGGACATTTGACTGAAATTCCAAAACCTACATTCGGCTGTTATTTACCACACCATGCTGTGATAAAGGAACGTAGTGAAACGACAAAGTTGAGAGTTGTATTCGATGCTTCAGCGAAAACTACGTCTGGAAAATCCTTTAATGATATACAACACATAGGTCCAGTTGTACAGGACGATTTATTTTCAATCCTTTTACGATTTAGACAGCATAAATATGTTGTAACAGGCGATATCGAGAAAATGTATCGCCAAATATTGATTGTTCCTGAACAGCGTCATTTGCAACTAGTATTGTGGCGTGATGATGAATCCTCACCCATAAAAATACTTCGGTTAAATACCGTTACATATGGTACGGCATCTGCGCCTTTCCTTAGTACTAGATGTCTAATGCAACTCTCAAAAGAATGTCAAGATCCAAAAATAGCACAGTTAATCAGAGAAGATTTCTATGTTGATGACTTTTTATCTGGTGCAGGAACAAAAGAAGAATTAAAACAAATAATTAACTCGGTTACTAGCATTCTTAATACCGCATGCTTTCCTTTGCGTAAATTCCGTACCAATGTGCCATCAATATTTCAATCTGGTAACGATACATCTGTGCCTAAAAGTCTGGATTTATCTTCTCAATCAAGTGCATTGGGTTTAAGATGGGACCCATCACAGGACGTGTTTGAATTTCCACTACAAATAGAAACCCCACCTTCCATTACAAAGCGCACTATCCTGTCTAGTTCCGCAAAACTATTTGATCCATTGGGTCTGTTAGGTTTATGTACAATCATAAGTAAAATAATTCTACAAAAATTGTGGTTAACTAAGTTGGATTGGGACGATCCCGTACCAACGGAAATCGCAATTAAATGGAACAACTTTGTTTCGAGCTTAAGTGAATTATCTAAGGTTCGGGTACCCAGATGTGTTCTTACTAGTGATCCTGTAGAGGTTGAACTTCATTCATTTTCTGATGCATCACAGGATGCATATGCTGCCTGCATCTATTTACGGTCTGTTGACAGTTTGGGAAGTGTGTCTGTTCGGCTTCTGTGTTCTAAGACCAAAGTCGCTCCACTCAAGGCTACGTCAATCCCACGCCTCGAACTTTGTGGTGCTCAATTGGCAGCACGTCTAAGTTCTAAGGTTGTAAAAGCCTTTAGAGGTCCTATTCTGAAAGCTACTCATTGGACAGATTCTACCGTAGTTATTAGCTGGATATTGTCTCATTCCAGTGAACTACAAACATTTGTAGCCAATCGGGTGAGTGAAATCCAAGATTTAACATCTCCACAATCTTGGAGACATGTGCCAGGTTCTGATAATCCAGCTGATTTAGCATCGCGAGGTCTAGATCCCAAACAAATACATAAGTCCACACTATGGTGGAATGGTCCTCAATTTTTACAACTTAAATCATATAATTGGCCACAAAACATAAGTGTTCCAGTTGAAGTTCCTGAAAAAAGGATTAATTCTAAAGATACATGCAAGGTTAAAATTATGTCTCTACACAAATCTAAATCTGTGTGCATACCTGAAATAGAAACTACTTATACTACATCTACATGCACTACAGCTACACACTCTACAAATATAATCAATACTAACTACACAGACACTAATTCTGTTGTAAACTTCGAGAAGTACTCAAATTTCACAAACTTACAAAGAATAGTAGCTTATTTAAAACGCTTTATACATAATTTACGTAATTCTACTTCAAAAATTACAGGCCCTTTATCATGCGATGAATTGGAGGTAGCTTTAATATGTCTAATCAAATTACATCAAAGAGAATGTTTTTCTAAGGAAATAACATTTATAACTAACAACAAAGAATTACCCCATAAATCAATTCTTCTATCTCTTAGTCCCTTTGTTGATGACTCTGGTATACTGCGGGTTGGTGGGAGGATTCAAAACTCTCCTGAAATTTTTGAAAGGAAACATCCAGCTTTGTTAGAATCTAATCATCATTTTACAAAACTACTTTTTATTCATGAACACAGGGCACATTTTCATTGTGGCCCTCAGCTTTTATTATGCAGCGTAAGACAAACGTATTGGCCGTTGAGAGGCAGAAATTTGGCTAGAAGTACAGTTAATCGATGTGTCTTATGTAGAATTCTAAAGGCTAAAAGTAATAATCCAATAATGGGCAACTTACCTGCTCCACGCGTGACGCAAAATTTTCCTTTCCAAATAAGTGGTGTTGATTTTGCTGGGCCATTTTTAATAACTGATCGTAAGGGTCGCGGCTGTCGTATAACTAAATGTTATTTATGTCTTTTTATCTGTTTCGCCACAAAATCCTTACACCTCGAAGTAGCAAGTGATTTGACTACAGATATTTTTATTTTGTGTTTAAGACGATTCATTTCTCGTAGAGGGAAGCCAAGTGAATTATTTTGCGACAATGGTACAAACTTTATAGGTGCTAATAATGAAATTAATAGTTTTCTCAAGTCGAGCAATGAACGCATCTACACATATGCCGCTAGTGAAGGCATTAAATTTAAATTTTCACCTGCTTATTCCCCCCATTTTGGAGGGATCTGGGAAGCAGGCGTGAAGTCCGCTAAATTTCACATACTTAGAATTTTGGGAAATCAACATTTGACGTTCGAGGAGTTGTCTACTTTATTTGCTCAAATTGAGGCTCTCCTTAATTCCCGTCCCCTAACTCCACTGTCAACTGATCCTAACGACCTATCTCCTCTTACCCCTGGCCACTTCTTGATTGGCAGAGCATTAACATCATTACCTTCACCTGCTCTTCTGGATATTAACGTTAACCACCTGGATCGATATCAAAAACTTGAACGTATCCGGCAGCATTTCTGGGAAAGGTGGCGACATGAGTACCTCAGTGAAATACAGCAACGGAGCAAATGGCAGACGAAGCAAAATTCAGTTCAAGAAGGAGACATGGTTGTCTTAAAGGACCCCAATTTACCTCCACTACAATGGCGTGTAGGACGAGTTAGTCGTCTTTATCCCGGCTCAGATGGCGTTACAAGAGTTATCGATGTTCATACTGCTAAGGGCATCCTGCGTCGAGCAGTTGCGAAAGTTTGTCTTCTACCGACTTCTTCAAGCTCATTTGTGACCTCTCGAATCCTGGACGTATTCGAGGGGGGGGAAGATGTTCACGCCGTATAGACGGCAGAGCGGGGCGGAGGGGGCGGCACACATGCAGTGTGAACTTAGCAACGAGCGCGGTGTACGGACGAGAGAAAAAAGTAGCCATAACGGCCAATAAGGCGATAAAAGGAACATTCACAAAAATACGCCCTTGTACACGTTAGCCATAATTCAATAATGTAAATATTTCTCACAATAAACAAAATAAACATAAACAGTAGGTAGGGCTTTATTATATTATTTGCCATAATATTAGTTCGTATTAAGATCCGGGTATAATATAAAAAAAATATATTTAACATGAAAGATTAAAATAAAATAAAAAGTAAATGGGGCTGTCGATAGTACAACTCTATCTCGGTTCAGTACTAGTTTTATTAACATTGTAGTCAGTTTTTTATTATGTCCATATTTCAATTACGTCCGTGTGTCCACATAAATTGCAATTTTTACGACAAACTTTCTTATTACATATTTTTTTCTTAAACCATAAATTTACATTTCGCTAAGTATATTGGATCCCATAATCACCGGTGAGCCAGTCAGAAATAGAATACACATTATTTTATGTCGGTGGCATTTGAACTTACGATCTTTGAGGTCTAAGTGGAGATGGTAAGCAACTCTACCACAATCCTTTCAACTCTCAGTCGCAATACTCCTAAAATAGATAAATATAAATATAGATATTATCCGTAACTTCGTCTCCTTTCTATTATACAAAATGTAGTCTATGTTCATTCTCGTAATACAAATCTGCACACCAAGATCTATTAGATAAGCAGATACCTTCGCATTTATAATACCGCTGTGGAAACCCCATACCTCCTCTCTCACGCACACATACACATTTAGCTCTTCACACACCGAGATGTTTCACGCATACACACACTCGCAGCACTAACTGTCACACACACTTAACTAGAAATTGTATAATTTCACTTGAGAAATATATTTATTAATATTTTTAAAGACACTTTATAGTACAGTAAGGTTCTGGAGAGAGCCATCTGTAATGACATCTGTAATATATGTTTCGAACTAGTTCAGACTCCAAACTCTCACAAGGAATAACTTGTAAGTTTAAATATAGCAGTAAAATAAAGATTAATAATATTATTATTATTGTTGTCCCATTTTATAAGTTTTTGCTGTTTTTTTACGCTTTGTGGCGTATACCATACTTACGGACCGTATACGCCTGTAATTATTATTCTTGAACTTAAAAAAATCTCATCTCCACTCTTAAGGAGAAGAGATGGCAACTTACCCCCGGCAGAAGTACAGTCAGCCCGGGGTTCAGGGCCCCAGGGAGAGAAACCGGCCTACAATGTGGGCAGAATCTAACAGCACCGCTTTCTGCATTTTTTCCGGGAGTGAGCCGCCTCGAAATCCCAACCGTCTGAGATGTTGTTCCGTTATTATTACTGTATCTATTATTATTATTATTATTATACCAAGTCGGTATATAATGAGTATAAGTGTTCATAATGACATTAATAATGACGCATCAACTACTTATCACAATGTTGTAAGTCTGTGCAGTGCAGTACTAGTTTTAATGTCTGTAAAACTTGGCTGCGAGCCAAAAAATACGGTCTGATAACACGAAATGAGAGCACAGGGGCGAATATTGCGCGCGTCAACGCGTCAGGCATAAAAGTTCTAAAAGACTAATTCCTTTTATGAGGCAGTTTTAAACTCGCTAAAACTTTATTGCTCGGTGTGTTTAAATCTAGATAGCCTCCTGTTAAAGATATATGGACCTGTTAAAGTTACAACAACAGTGCGAAAGGGAATGAATGTTAAGTTTAATCGAAAACACTTATTGGAATATTATTTTTTTTTTATTAGGAATTTGGGCTATTTTCAGTTGTAGCTTTAGATCTGTAACACTGCGACCAGAAACTGAAACAAGTAATTAAGTGGAAATCTGAAGAAAAATATTGAAACTTTTTATACTGAATTAAAAGAAATATGTTTGATTTATATTTATTTATACGTTTAATTATCAACAACAAATTATAAAACTATTTTCAAATAAAATGTATTTATATTGAACAAAAAAGAGGTGGAAGGAGGATATAAGAGCAGTAGATGGACCAATTTAGAGGAGGAAAGAGTTGATCAGAGAAGCATGGAATCTATTGGAGGAGGCATATCTTAAAACAAAGAGATGAACCGAGGCAGTGAAATAAAAATAAAAATAAAATTAATATGGCTAAAATCAAACTCAAGGCTATGTATCTAATATAAATACATACAAATAAAATTGGAGTGTCTGTTTGTAATATTGAAATAACCGATTGTTACTACAAGCATATGAATATAAATACGGCGCATACACCAAAATAACATTTTTATCAATTTTTGTCTGTCTGTCTGTTTGTTCCGGCTAATCTCTGAAATGGCTAGACCGATTTTGACGGGACTTTTTTTGGCAAGTAGCTGATGTAATAAGGAGTAATTTAGGCTATTTTTATTTTAGAAAAATAAACTTAAATTCCACGCTTTCCGCGTGTGCAGCTAGTTAATATATATTTTGATTATATTGTTATATATTTTTGGAATAATTGTTCAGTTTCATGAATATAATATTGACTTTAGGTTTAGTTCAGTTCACCCTTAACCACAATCTCTGCATAAAATGAAGGTCGCCTTTGAATATATATGGATATCCGCATTGTAGATTAGCAAGGCTACACCCCAAGCTAGCAGCTAGACTATATTTTATTGCCAGTTCGACGACTGGGTGGCTCGGACTACTGAACTCAGTAGACGGCAAGAAGGACAAAGCAGTGAATTTCTATTAGATGAATTACCAACTCGTTTCAATTTCGCTCGGATTGGACAATTTCATATAAAATTATTACATATAACATATATGTATATAAATCTCGTGCTTATATTTGTGTTTATTGTTATGATACTTTTGTGCTCACTATACATAATTTGGTTCAACAAAATATTGTATATTATTCAAGTATTTCTATAATTTATGCATTACAAGTAGAACGAAAAAAAGATGGATGGATTGTAATATGATTGCATAAAGCTCAGATGTAATGCTCAATAGGAATATTGGAAGAAGGTGACATATTTCGCGGACCCTAAACAATGGGGTGAATGCAAGGTAACGATGATAATGCATATCAAATAATAAAATCAAACCTTTCTTGTTTACAATGAGTTTAGACTATATTTTAGGAGCTAATCTTGTTACTAATCGATCTGATACGAAAAATTATATTTTTGTAGCATAGGGGACAAATTAGGCTGCTGCTCATCTGATGGTAAGTAGTTACCACTGCCCATGAGGAAGAAGGTGATATTACACAGACGCTAAGCAATGGGATAAAGGCAAGGTAATGATAATGCATTTGAAATAGTAAAATCAAACCATTCTTCTTTATAGGGTTAAACTTATTATCGAAAATTTAATATTGTCACAAATGGATCTGATAAGATTGTAGGTGTGCCATGTACACACACATACATACATACATATTATTAATACAAGAGATTAAATTACATCGCGTTGCACAGCGCACCTACTACACGTCCCTCCCCAGTCAGATATACGATGTACTCCCGTATTGTCGTATTACTATCGTGATAAAATATCCTTTGGGGGAGGCCTATGTCCAGCAGTGGACGTCTTCCGGGCTGCGATGATGATGATGATGAAAATATCCTGTGTTATTATTTTGTAAAGCTCATGACACCACACACACATATATATGAATAGGAGGACCTTATATTCATAGTACATTAAGTGATACCATAGCCTGCGAAATGATGAGCACCCGCAAAACCAGGGGAATTGCAAGTGCGTTGCCGGCGTTTAAAGAGCAATAAGTTCTAATACGGTGTAAAATCGTATCGAAAATACTATAGCTGGAAGGTGATTCAATGTAGTTGTGCATGGCAAAATGTTTTTTGAAAAACTCACGATTGAGGACCGCCATTCATCCAGATGATCTGATATACATATATCTCACGCCAATTCGTAAAAAATCCGAACATAATATTACCTTCCCTATTTCAGCAGTAGAGTAAAACACATGACGTCACTACAACGCATTTAATATGGGCCCAATATTTATTGCCGTGGGTAGCAGAAAATCCATTACGAAATCTCTTGCATTACTTACGTAGCATAATCCTTCGTCCCTTTCACCCTAACCGATCTGTGGTTTTAAATTTCTTGTTAATAGTTAAAGCTGTTTGGGATTCCTGAGCTTATGGAGTTGTTCGCAGGCATTAAAACAACCGCAAACTAGAAGCCCAAAACTAGTTAGTATAATCTATAAGTACATATAATAAAAATGTAACTGATTTCTCTTTGTACATGAAAGATAATAATAATAATCCAGGATTACTCACAAAGCGCTATTTGCTAATACCGCAAAGCTGAGCTTGTGTTATGGCTACTAAACTACTAACAGAAATATTGTAATATATTTTTAAAATACTATACGTAAATAATATACGTACCAATGTCGCAGGCTTATAAAAATGATCACACTGTATAACTGACAACAAATATAATTCTACGACCATCGGAAATAAACCGGTATACTGAACCAGCATACCTCCGAAGCCGAGATAAGTGTGGGTTTGAATCCTTCTAAATAATTGACTTTTAATAAGCGAAATATATTAGAATGCAATTAAAAGGAATGTATTAAAAATATAATTATAAAAATTTAAAAAGTAATACAAAATATATTAAGATATTCGCTACAATAATACATTAACTATCATATATATATTTTAAAATACATTATAACATGGTACTAGCTAATAGAGGTTGTGAAACTACTGATAATAACTGAAAGTCATTTGCACTTGTTAAATAGTATATTGAGTTCAAATTAGTTTTCCGAGTAAGCTTTTAACATACCGTTTAAGCATATCGTGTATTAACATAATGTTGCATTGCCCTATTTTAAAGGAACGCTTAAAAAATGGTTCCTTTTTAAAAAACTTTTCTTACATAAATTACTACCAAGAATATTCAGCAAGGCGTTTGAATTATTAGGTCATTTTAGTAATTTACATCTAAATTACAATGCGCATTGTGGTTAAAAACTGTGACAAGTACGAGTTCCGTGGTAATAAATAAAATCATTGAACAAAAATTTCAACAAATAGCCATGAAGAACTAACTAGAGCTTGCACTATGGATATTAATTAATATTTTTTTGTTTGTAAATATTTATTTATTTAAGTATTATAGACCAATGAATGATGGCATAAAATGAGGACTAAATGCTATAGGCATTCTCTACTAGTTTACTTTCGAGAAGTGCAGAGATACTTCATAGTGGCTTAACATTGAATATATAAATTACATAATAATATACATATATATTATATAATATACCTACAGTGAAAAATACATAGACCAATGTAAACATATTATTACGTACTTGTACATCTTCTTACCACTGAATTATCTGGTGTAAATTAAGAAACAGATGGATTAGCGCAACGTTACTACTCAGACAACCCAGAACTGAGTTCTCTTGCGCAAATACATGGAGAACTGAGATAAACTGGGAACATGAGTTGAACAAAAAGATCATGATCAGACATATTATTTGCGAACTCATCAAATAATAAGTTGCGAACAATCATGAGACGTATTATGAATGTAAAAATAAATTAATGATGTGTTGTATATAGAACTAATTGCACTCAATTATTCATCTGGCAACTAATATTATCTTCTCTGTGCAGATAACACTATCATGATCTTAAAGTTAGTGATACAGAAAAATATAATCCAAGTAAATAGAGAAACTATATAGAAAATAAATATAGAATTTATAACCTCACGGCTACGCCTTTATACTTTTATAACGAGGATTGCGAGGATTAAATTCACAAGATAACCTATTTACAGGGGAAGATGTAAATTGGTTCTGATAGGAAGGGTTTTAGAGCAGAAAAATATGTTTCTTAATATTTTTCGTAATCCAATTCTTCCATAATGTTAAAATATTTAAAACGACTTTGGTGGTCTAGCTAGTGATTTACCGCGGTTTAGTTAATACACTGCCTCATATCTGATGGTCGCGAGTTCGATTACTAAAACCGGCCGATGTTTTCTTGATATTGTTGTAATTTTGTTTCTGTGTAATGTACTGTTAATTCTTTGGAGACAACAACGAAGCGTATTTTTCATAGCCTTTGTTCATAAAATACTTTGTCAATATCATTCTAATTAAGAAAGTAGGTCGAAAGAAAAATAATTCAATTGTCAGAAAGGATATTTTAGAATTTTTATAAATAATCATTAATTTTAAACTTTTAACGTTTAATCTTTTTATATTTTTATTTAATATTCATTTATTATTTTTTTATTAAATTTTAAATTGTAAGTATCCATACCATACCCCTGAAAAAAAGAAACGAGCCTTCTCGATCACGTCAGCTTTCTAACAACTTAAAAAAAACATGTCATAATCAGCAGATTCGATTAGGAGCTACGACGGTACAGACAGACATACAGACATATCAAGCTTATAACACATTTCTCTGTGCGTCGGCTGTAAAAATACACTTTTTATAATATGTATGGTTATATTATGAACTAGTCCATTAATAACACCCCAATTAAACACTAAATAGTAGGGTAGCCTATTCCTAATTGCGTCATGCGATATAGTTACAGCTAATTACATTTATAATATACTAGCTACCCGCCCAGGCTTTGCATGGGTGTACCTGTAACATACATATAAACCTTCCTCTAGAATCACTCTATCTATTGCAAAGAACTGCATTAAATTCGTTGCGTAGTTTAAAAGATCTAAGCAAACAGCGGAACGACTTCATTTTATATTATGTAAAGATTATACATTGTGAAAATATATATATATATATACAATAATGACGTTACTGTCATAACATTTACGATCAAAAGTTATAATAACAAACTGACTATAAAACTTATATTTAGAAGGATTACAGGCAAGCGAGATGCCGTTGCAAAAATGATGAAATAAAGACAGCGTAATCCTTCAACTAATAAAGAGATTTATTCCAATAAATATCAATTGATTAATGTTTATAACTAGTTACAAGTTTCACAAACTTTTGTAAGTACTCTTAACACTATTACGAAGTTATTTATACTTAAATGTATTAAAAATAATGACGCAGAAAGTAAGTAATAACAGTCTAGTGTATACAAAAAATCTTGGCCTAAAATCTTAACCTTTCAATTGTAATGTAAATTTAACAAATTGAACTTACCGTGTCATTCCTACGGACAAAGGGCTATACACACGAACTACCCAGGCTTGTGCCAAGCGGTATCGAACCTTATACCCTTCTGCCACATGTGTTGCAATCGCCCGGCACCTACCGCGATAAACACTCAAATTGTATGCGACACTAACACTTTCTACTCTCTTTGCAGTTATTGTAATATGCAATTTTTGTAAAAATACGGAAATAATTTTGGGGCACACGGGCGCGGCCGGTCCGGTCGACCGCTAACTGCGAATACGGTATAGGTAGTGTTGGGAATAGGGTTGATACACCCCATCGTTTTTATACGGGCGTGAGTCGACATATAAATATTAATATTTGTATATATTACAATCTGCAGTAAGCTGTTAATTTCGCCAAATGAACTTTAGAGTTTGAGAAATTACTAATCATCAAAATTGTAGGTATTTCATTATTGTTATGGCAACTATTGTCCGTATCCACGGAATTCTCATTTAAATTTACACAGCCTATATAAGCAAAAATCGTTTACAAACTGGCTTTCAAAAAAACAAAATTCTAGATTAAAATGGTCAATGGGAAAAAATATTTGTACAAAACCTGGATGCTGTGCTGACTATGACTGGACATATATATAGTACATGACATAATTTCATGTACTATATATATGTCCAGTCACAAATTAATAAAGGTTTTTTTATTTGATTTGATTTGACATTGTGCTGTAAGTTACACGAATTAAAAAAAGTAGCCCAGTTGTCAAATTTCGACCAAAAGTCTAATAAATTTTATTTTTCAATTTGTATTCACACAAAATACTGAACATGCTGAACAACATATATATATAAAATAGCAACATACAAGTTTCTTGCTCATTCCTCTAATGATGATGCTGCGTTCCAAACGAACGATAGAATAAAACATGTGACCATTCGAAAGTGCTTATATTAAGTTTATTTTAATAAAAAACATTTATTTATTATTTATTTATTTTATTTAAACTCTTTATTGCACCAGACAAAGAAAACACACATTTATATTTATGTAAAGAAAAATTAAGAAAGGTAGAAACTTAACAATATATATTTTTAATAACGTTGAACTTTAATGTTTCGACAGTGTTACATCCCTACAAATGTACTGCACATGCGTAGAGTAGCAAACAGCAGCAGTGAAATAAGGTTCTCTTCACTGTGGTAAATAATACATTACAAAGGGGCTTTGATAGTACCCGCTAGGTACGTCTAGAGGGCGCTTTTGCATTTTAAAAAGTTTGCACATAAAACGCCCAGCCTTATTGAATGTTTTTACACTACGTGTCTATGAAAAATAGTTAAAGTTTTTTCAATTAAAGTTTTTCACTGGGCAAGTAAGGGTATTAAAGGTAGTGAAATATTCAGTATTAGTAATGGAAAGACTTTAAAGCTTTACTTGATGTAAACGAGATCGACCGAGCTAGGCTTTGTAAAAAATCCTCAGCGTGGGTACCTAAATCTCAACTGTGTTATCAGTCAAGCTTTGTAAGCTGTGTTGCGGTTGATAGTTGACATAAGGTAGTTCAGTTACAGGATAGAATATATGAGATTTTATTTCTCCTAATGGAAACTCGTGAGAGGTATTACGGGTGGCACATTTTATTTATATTAAAATTTGACGTTATTACGTTTTACCGCAATCTCACCTGATGTTAAATGATGATGTGGTCTAAGCTGTATACGCAAGCTCAAATAATGACTATTCACTCTTGACTTGAAAGACTCAATGTTGTAAGAGGCAGGACAAATAGACGCTGGTAGAGAGTTCCACTCCTTAGCTGCTCGCATAAGGAAAGATGATGCAAAACGGTTGGTTCGAGCAGCAGGGATATCAACAATGTTTGTGGTGAGCCGCTCTCTACGTCTTGTTGTACGTTGCAAATGAAAACTTGATGTCCGTATAGTACCACAGACCATCAGATGGACCGTTAATTTGTTTATCACTGTTAGGCTGTCAGTTTGTCTGTCTCTTTGATTTTAATTATAACAATATTCTATTATATATACATTATTAAATATTATTCTTTTAATAAACAGAAACATGATGCTCTATATCCTGCCAGCCAAGACTCCATATCGATTACACTATATTTTGGCAGACTGTCAAATCAAATATTTTTAACAAATATTACAAAATATACTTAATGCGTATATGTTATAAAGTATAAATTTGCTTTAGGAATACCGTAATATGACTACTTTGAAGTGTACTCATACATAAGGGGTTTCAAAGGAAATATGTATTTTAGTTAACAGGTTAATTTTCTAGATGAGCACGAAGGTCGAATGACAGCATGTAATGGCTAGAATACTGCGATCATTTAATTTTGCACTAAATTAACTCATCTCTGGAAGTTGGGGTCGAGTTGACTGAATCATCAGAGGAATTGAACGTGGAAGTGGATTGCACAAGTGTCTATTTCTAATTTCAAATTAACTGCTTTTCACTAAATTCATATGAAAGTATATACGGTACTTACACTTAAAATTATTGTTTAAAATTATTTTCTGACTGTTTTTGTGAATCTCTGGACTAATTTTAAAAAGACTTTCACTCTAAGATAGCTTATTAGCTATGAAAAGCCTCAGTTACTTCTTCTCTTTCTATATTAAGAAATATATAAGAAGTGACTGAGACTACTTTCACTTCAGAAATTTTATTTATGTCAGTTTTTTCTGCGTATCTCTATAACGGCTGCACTGATTTTGACGAGACTTTCACGCGCAGAATTTATTCATAAGAAATTACTTATGCTAATCAATCATTTAAAAACTGTTTTAATAAAAATAGAGGCAAATTCTACGCGGATTAAGTCTCGGATATCAACTAGTTTGCACTATAAATACGATATTAATGTTGTTGATATTATGAATAAATATAACTAAATTTACATTGAACATAATACAGAATATCGAATATTGAATAAATGAATTTCTCACAATTCTTTTTGAACTGCACAAAAAGAACTAAGAAAAATAACTTTACACATCTCTATTATCATTAATCTACGATTATGTAAGAGATTATTTAATGATAAGAGCGGCTTTGGAAATCTTTTATCTTATTATTTTTTGTTATCACAGTAAACATTTTTCTTCCATTGTTCCCTATCAAACGTCATATCTGAGCTTCGTCTTATTTTCCATATCATCTTTCACAAATTCACCCTTCTTTTCTACGGTCGTCCTATCCCTTACGTCCATTTACTTTCATATTATTATAAATAGGTATCTTCTTTTAAAAAAGCCGTCATTTCTCCGAAAAATATGTTCATAACAAAATCATTATTTACTTTTCAACATCTATATCATTAATGTAACTTTTAGATTTCATTACATGTACTCATTTTGTATTATCATTGCATATTATAAAATAAACTTACTGTCGCTGTCTGTTCGTCGCTATGTATGCTTAAATTTTTAAAACTACGCAACGAATTTTGCAGTGGGTCTTTTAATAGATATAGTGATTCAAGAGGAAGGTTTATATATATAATACATGTACAACCGTGCGGAGCCGGGGCGAGTAGCTAGTCATTTTATAATTAAGTACGAAAATTTCATGAACTTACTATGTTTGCATCTTTTGCGACAATTGTTTAATCTTCATCCGTCTTTTACAAACTTGGTATTTTGCTGGTGGTCACTATATTCTTCATAATTTAATTAAAAACTGAATCTACATTTTTATAAATATGCACAAGTTCATTCGAAAAGAATAAGAGCTGAGTTTCTTGTCAATTCTTCTTAGCTTGAAAGCACTCCGAACTGACGGTGGATTTGACATTTTTACGAGTTTATAATAGACCTACTTCATGTAAAGATATATGGTATGATTTGATTTATTTATTTACTTACTTCTATAACATGCTAGCTATGCCCGCATTTCACACGCATGAAATTTCTAGCCTACATGTTATTCTTATGTATAAACTATATAACTGAATCATTAAAATCAGTTTAGTAGGTTTTGCGTGAAAGAGTAATAAACATCCATCCATACACACAAACTTTCCCATTTATAACATTAATAAGATTAGATGTACAGAGAGATTAATATAGTGCAGGATGCAGTTTGATATTAATAAACTACTTTTGTAATATCAATACCAGTACTTCAATAAGGATACGCATAGTTTTCATTTGAATTGATATACTTGCGAATAATAGCACTAGGTCTGTCCGCAACTTTGACTACTAAAATAGTTGCGATGAAATTACATATGAACTTTATATATATTATTATATGTATAGATGTATGTATATATATAAAATAATATATGACACCCCTGGTGTTTCAGGCGTCTATAGGCTACTAACCATTTACCATCAGATGGGCCGTATGCTTGTTTGCCACCATAGTAGTATAAAAAAAAACTTTTCTTTCTGAGTTTTGTTTGTAATATTGAAATAACCATTTTTTACTATATGCATATGAATATAAATGCGGTACAACAATATCTTTACGGTACAAAATAACATTTTATACTATTTTTGTCTGTCTGTCTGTCTGTTTATTCCGGCTAATCTCTGAAATAGCTGGAACGATTTTGACGGGACTTTTTTAGGCAAGTAGCTGATGTCATCATCATCATCATCGCAGCCCGGAAGACGTCCACTGCTGGAAATAGGCCTCCCCCAAAGATCTCCACGACGATCGGTCCTGCGCTGCTCGCATCCAATGCCTTCCCGCGATCTTGACCAGATCGTCGGTCCACCTTGCTGGAGGCCTTCCCACGCTGCGTCTTCCGGTCCGTGGTCGCCACTCGAGGACTTTACTGCCCCAACGGCCATCTGTCCTACGAGCTATGTGCCCTGCCCATTGTCACTTCAAAGTCGCAATTCTGTAGTAGCTAATGTAATAGCTGATGTAATAATAAGTAACTTAGGCTACTTTTATTTTAGAAAAATAAAGTTAAATTCCACGCGGACGAAGTCGCGAGTACAGCTAGTTATTAATTATGGTGTTTACCTAAATAATTTAATAGTAAATTTTGTATATAATTCACTCTACGTTTCATCCATAGTACGTCTTAAGATCTGACAAAGTAATTAATCTTTAATATTATAAAGAGAGCCCGAGCTTGTTACGAGGAAATTAAACTCTGGATAGTGGTCCAGAGTTTATGCCTGATGAATGGCTGAGAAATTCTTTTAAAGGTAATTTATTCTAAAATAACGTAGTCTTTATATATATTATTTTAATATATATGTATATAATAATATCTCAA